AAAAAAAATTAAATTAAAAATACAGTACTAATATTTACATTGCTGTAGATAACAATAGTCGAGTCATCGATACTTCTGCGAAGATCAGTTAATTTCTCCAAGGGATTGTTCAAGATATCCCAGTATTGCTTGCTACTTTCTTCTTTACATCGTGTAAAAAAAGATAGAGCAGCAGCAAAAATACCTTTTACAAAATATATTATAAATATAGTTAGAAGTTTGTACAACATTAAATGTAATACAAGTTTCAACCAATAATTGTTCCAGGTGCAATAATATCGTTGGCTACAGTGGTGTTAAAGCTATTCTTGCCTTATATTTGTCGAAAGTTATCTTTTAAATAATTTGGCAAAAATTCTTTTACACTGCTTAATAGCATAGGCACAGTAAAATGCAACCAGGTAAAACATGGAAACAAGCTAGCTGAACTATTGTTGCTTTACAGCCATAGAGAATTACTTTTTAAGGTAATTTTAACAATAGACACAACTATTATCGGCACCCAGTACTTGCATCGCTAATATTTGTCCCTAGTATTATACAGCAGCATTTTTGCCTTACATTAGTCAAGGGTTTCCCCTTGAGGCAGTCTTGGCGAAGCTACAGTATAATATCGAATATATATCCAGCATTAGTCAAAGGTTTCCCTTTGAGGCAGCCTCGATAATACTCGACATGGATAAAGTATAGCTTACTGCACAGTAACCTGGTACCGCCTGTACTTTTATCGATATATACATATCAGCTCTTTAACCCACATTAGTCAAGGGTTTCCCCTTGAGGCAGTCTCGAAAAATCACTGATATATATAAACGAACACTTAATTGCCTTGCATTGGTCAAAGGTTTCCCTTTGAGGCAGCCTTGGCAAGCATTCTAATGCTAAAAGTACAGGCCATGCTTCCACAGTTTCGAACGGACCCCACCCTGCTTAAATACTTACCAGAATCGGAAGCAAGTCGACAATTCGAAGTAGCCATTTAGAAGGTAAGTTTTTTAGCACTGCAATAGATAAAAAATATAATATCGATTAATTTTCTACATCGATACAGTGAAACTAGGTATACCTGTAACAGTGTATAGGTATTTGTAGCAATACCAGTAAATCGAAACCTAAAAGTCGAAAACCAAGTATTAAAATACTTACAAGTGAATCGAAATGGAAGTTACCCTGTAGAGTTTTAAATAAGAAGTAAAAAGCAAGAAGAAATATTGTTAATAAAATGTTGAAATAGCAATAGAAATAGTCGATAAATTTTTAAAAGAAACAATAAAAAAAATCGATAAAAGAATCGATAAAAGAATCGATAAAAGAATCGATAAAAGAATCGATAATAACAGCAAATTAAAGAAACTGTAAAACAAGAAATATTGCTAAAGCAACTTGAATGGCAGCTGTGAAAGCAATAATTTACCTGTAAAATGCTGTTTAAAAGTAAATTGGGGGAGAGCAAGTCGGTAAGAAAAACGATAAAAAGAAATTTATCGATCAATCGATCGGTAAAAATCAAAATGTCAATCATCGGCAAAATATAAAAATAGCTGTATTGTTTTAACAATTGTTAAAGATTTACTTCTATATTAGCAATACAATTAATCTTGTTGCTATTTAAGCATGTTAATAATAATGCAATACAGTTATTATGCCAGCAACTTGCATCAATAGCATATACAGTAGTTTTTGAATATCGTTATAATTTACGATGAAATAAATTAATTTAAAAATTAAATTAATTTATTTATTAAATAACTGGTTATTATACTGTATTAAATTAATAATAATTTCTTGTAAAAGTATAAAAAAATTAATGACAAAAAATATTTATAATTTT